ACCTTGTATTTTGCGCTGGTCTTGGCTTCAGCTCTTGAAATGAAATTGGATAACTTTCGGCTCATCGATGAAGTGCGAAAGCGTCGTGCTCTCTGGGACTCAACGATGCATTACTGTGCACGCAAAGATGTTGGCGCCCTGCAATGGCAGGAGGTGGCAAGCCAAATGAATCTGGACGGTGAGCAAAATGAATCCAGCTGCATGTTTATCCTGCTTTATTGATAATCTTTATTGTTGATATATTTGTACAGTGGCAGTGTGCAAGAAGCGCTTCAAAGGATTGCGTGATAGCTATCGCACCGAAATACGGAAAATACAGCACAAGCGTATCGCAAACTCAAATTGGCCTTATTTTCGAGCCTTGGAATTTTTGCGTAATATATTCGATCCAGATAAATTGGTTGCCTTCTCCCCGGTGCCGTTTGACATGGTCAACGATTTCTCAGACTTTGAGCAAAATAAGCTGGATGACTTTGTTATTGATGTCGATAATGACGATTCCTTCGACTTCGATGTTATGGGTGACATATTCAAGCGGGATACAGTCGACTCACAAATCCACGATTCTAGCTCCGATCATTCGATGATCAGAAGACAAAACATTGATGTGCCGAATACATGCACCCCCATGAATAGATCAGATGTGGAAACCCCACCCAGACTGTTATCCCCCTTGCTGCCCAAAGCGCCATCGACGAAGCGTGCGAAACGTCGAAAGACATCCTCGTCCACAGATGGAGTTTATCAAAATGGCCATACAACAAACAGAAAGTCGACACCAGTGCTAGCTACTGCGGATTCAACTGCCAAAGATGATCCTGATTACAATTTCCTAATCAGTTTGCTGCCACATGTGAAAACGTTATCAAGTTTGAACAACATGAAATTTCGTACAGAGGTCAGTCGAATGCTAATGGAGATGAATCAGCAGGATATGGAGTCGACGGAGCATTTAGGGGCCTCCAGCTTACCAAAAGTAAACCCAGCATCAGCAGCTGGTGGCTATAATCACGAGCATGACAGTGACACCACAAAATATAGTACGGGGACTGGCTCAATGAATGGAAGCGCATTTCTCGCTCATAGTTCGATGATCGAGTGTGATGTTAAGATCGAGAACGAGCCCCTATATTGAGGATTGATCAAGAATTTAGATGTAAATACATAAATCCTAGATTTTAAGCTATAAACACGCAATTGGCTGCATCCAAATTATAGTTTTACGGCGTAAACCCAAATATTACAAAAACTGCGTCTGTATCTGATAAATGGTCCCTAACTACGCCACTACACAACCACCCATATTCTCAATACGGTAATTATACAAAATAATCCAAATGGAATATAATTTACTCCATCTTTGTCTCTGAAGAGTATTTTTTCTTCTTGTAATTGTTAGTTATTTATAGAAAATAAATATAAGGAATATAAAAGGCTTAGTATGTTTGCCAGTTTTGGAATAAATTTTATGCTATGGAGGTATTTCCCACACATTAAATATTTCGATTGTGCGCCATTTACTGAGAATGCCAAAGTGAGATGATGATAAACAGAAGATGCATTTCGAAAACCAAATCGCTTAAGTATGTATATTTTAGCGGTGACTTGGAAATGCAGATACATATTTCTAGATTATAAATATATCATTGGTCATTTTTGTTGTATTAAAAAATCCGAATAGCTGAGATTAATAAGGTTAAAACTTTAGACATTTAAAAAATATCTAATTTAGCAGTATGTTTTGATTTTTGTGTGTATTTTTTCTTATAAATTGGTTTCGGTCTTAAATAAAATTTATCGATAGTATTTCATTCGCTGTGAATGGCATAAAGTAGCGTAGCCCAGCGAACGGTACGTGAGTCAGCTGTTGCATTTTTTGTAAAGCCGAAGTGCCTGTGAGAATATTTTCACGAAAGTTACCTGGTTGACTGCCATTCTATTGTGTTCCGCCCAATTGTGCACTTGCTGTAGCGCTCTATTAGCACAAAAATGACAGATAGTTCAGATGAGGAATATCTGCACACCGAATGGGTGCCATACAGCGAGAGACCCGAATGGTCCGATGTGACGCCGCTGCCACAGGACGATGGACCCAATCCTGTTGTTTCCATTGCATATTCACCCAAGTGTGAGTTTACACCTATATTAGGATACAAGCAGAACAATTCGAATCATTTTATTCAACATTTCAGTTCGGGAGACATTTGATTATATGCGCGCCATTATTGCGAAAGGTGAAAAGTCGCAACGTGCCCTGGAGCTGACAACCGAAGCGCTGCGTCAAAATCCAGCCAATTATACGGTGTGGCAATATAGACGAGATATATTGCGTGAGCTGAAAGCCAATTTGCAGGATGAGTTGGACTATCTGGATGAGGTCATTGGACAGAATGCCAAGAATTACCAAGTGTGGCATCACAGGCGGGTCATTGTCGAGATGATGAATTGCCCCAAGTGGGAGTTGGAGCTGACACAGAATGCCTTAGACAATGATGGCAATGCAAAGAATTATCATGCTTGGCAGCATCGCCAGTGGGCCATACGTACATTCAAGTAAGCCCAATTCGCGGTTATGGTATTCATATACAAATTGTAATCATTTATTCCTTTAGCCTCTATGACGACGAACTGGACTTTGTCGACCGTTTGATTTGCGAGGACCAACGCAACAATTCTGCCTGGAACCAGCGTTTCTTTGTTCTCAAGCATTTTGGGTTCACTCCAGAGGTGATCAAACGGGAGGCCGAGTATGCCATGGATCGCATACGAGTCATCAAGAATAACGAAAGTCCATGGAACTTTTTGGTTGGAGTCCTGCGACAAAGCGAGAGTGGAAGGCTCGATACCCTGCCGGAAGTTGTGGAGTTTAGTGAGGGCTTGTACAATGCTGGCAATCGTTCGCCCTATCTGCTAGCCTTCCTCATCGATCTCTATCAGGAGCAGGCCCTGGAATCGAAGCAAGAAGACAACAGCATTGCCCAAAAGGTTTATGCGCTGTGCGACGATATGGCCAGCAAACATGATGTTATACGTCGTAAATATTGGCAGTACGTGGCGTCCCATCTGAAGACGCAGCTGAGCAAGCAGGCGGAAGGAAATGATTAGCTTTTTATTCATATACAATATATGTTTGCGTTTTTGCCCTACAAGCATTATTTTCTTAATATACAGAAATACATACCATGTTAGACCATAGACGTTCATAGAAATTTAGTTAATTTATTTAAGTTCTGCTGCATGGCCTCGCCTTGTTTCAATTGTTTACCAAGCTCCGTGTTGCTGTTTGTTCACGTAAAATTCATCATAAGATAATTTTGTTCATTATCTGAACGCATTTCTTATCAGCGAGCATTGCCTACAGTGGGGCAGAACAGAGAAATTTATGGAATAAACAGAGTGCATAGACTGTCACTATCGTGGACTTACGTCCTGTAGGTCTGCATCTTTATCTGTCTAAATGTAGCGAATTTTCCCACTGTGAGTCTATTCAGCAAAAGAAATTATAAACTTTCTGCTGTCTCAATATTTTTATTTATTTAAGTTTGCTTCTTTCAGTTTTTTTTCTTTTTTTTTAAATTTATTTATTTTTTTTTTTTTTTTAGTTGAGTACATACATTATAGCAGTTGGTAATATATAACGTTTTTTTTTTTAGTTTCTTTTAATTTGATTTTCTTGCGTATATATTTTGTGTTTTTTTAGTTTGTTCAGAATGGAAATAGTTTTTAAATTTTTTTTTCATTTACTTTTGTTTTGGAATAGGCAAAAGGCAATTGGCAATTCAACAATTTGGGATTAGAAAAACTTAATTTCGTGTGCTCTTTGCCAGGCATTTAGTAAAATACTTTAAAATAAAGCAGAAGACATCTTTGGCGTGTTTAGTATGGATACAAAATATTGTTTTTCATTTTAATGTATATATACATACATATATATAGAAGTATATATATACATATGGAGTACTCTTTTGCATAGTTTAATAAAATTTCGTAATAATAAAATATATATTTGCTTTTTTTTTTTAAATATTAATTTTTTAAGATTTGTTTTTTTTTTGTCTGCTCAAAAAGTATTGTGAATTTTAATTTTTTAATGATTTCAATTGTTTATGAGTATCTACTTTGTGCCCCTTTAAGTAAACCCTGTCAGTTCTACATGGGTCAAACCAGGTTGGGGAACTATATTGCCTAATAGGCAACAAGGGAGAACAAATGCAAACTAGATTAACGACTCTTTAGTTGAAATGAGTAAACACAATTATCAAAAAACATTTTTGAGTTAAGTTGTTAAACTTCTAATTTTTAATTAGAAAAAAAAAACCGAATTGCAAAATCTAAATGTCTAGTTTCGTAATACTTTTTGAACAGACCTCGTATATAAATTTGAAAAAAGCCTATTAAATTCAAACATACTTTCAAAATCAAAGCTATTTAGGAAATTATTTTTAAAGACAGTTCAAATATATCTATATATAATATAGTTTAGAAAAAGTGTCGGCTCACATTATAAAATATTTAAATTTCCTTTTCGTCTACTACACTGATTCATGTCGCTTCTGCTTACCTGATCTGAGTGTTGGGTGTAGCCAGAGAGAAAGTTTTGATAGTTTTTTCGTTTTTTAACAATTTGATATATAGAATTCCTATATATATATATATAGATTTGTAATAATGTTCGCCTTTTGTTTGAATTACATTTGTGTAAAAGCATTTTTAGCAAAAAAATTAAAAATTTACATTTTGTTTCATTTCTAAAATCTGTTTCATCAGAGTTTGTGTTTCATTACAAATATTACTGTTTTACTTCAACGTCATTCTCCTGTTACTCCTTTATATTATATAAAATAAATCATTTACCAACATTTCGGTTTTTCGTTTTCTGCGCTTTGTGTGAGGAAGCTTCATATACCATCTATAAATATATATGTATATATATATTTATATATACTATATAGATATACATTTTAGTTTTCTTTTGTTTTTCATATAATTGTTAAAAAATTAATGCCACTTGTGCCACTTGCTATATTTTTATATGAATATATATACGTACAATCGACATTTGCAGCTGTTGTGTAGCTCTAGTTGCTTACAGCTTGACATGGACATGCATATACATATACATATATCATTCAAAACCAATCAATCTGTAGCTCTCTCTAATGTAACTCTGTCTTTCTCTCTTATGCCAGCTCTTGGAGCTACATCGTCCTCCATTTCCCTCTCTCTCTCTCTATATCTCTCTTTGTCTGTCTCTCTCTCTTTCTGTCTACTTATCCTCTCCAATGCCCTCGTCAGTTGTTGTCTTACGCTCTCTAGCCTCTTCGTTGCTGATATCACATTTTTCAGCCAACATATCCTCGATACCCTCGTCGTCCACCGCCTGGCTCTCGCCGGGTATATGCTTGCGCACAGGTAGCACAACGCACAACTCATCGCCGTCCTGAGGTAATGGCGGAAACTTGGCAAACGAGGTGTTCGCGATGGTGCCCACGGTGCTGTCCTTATAGCAATCGGGTGTCATACGCACACGGCATGTCTCGTAGGCCTTGACATAGCCCAGCTTGGTGTATAGATTCCTGGACGCATCGTTCTGTGGACGTATGACAACGAACGGAGTATAGCCGCGCTCGATCACCAGCTGAGTCAATGACTTGGCCAAGCGAATGCCATAACTGCAAGAGAGGTGAGAGAGATTAGATCACTACAGATCTGCAGATCTGGGGGAATGGCTATACCCACCCCATGCGTCGGTAATCTGGACGTGTTTGCATAGAAAACATAGCGCCGTAATATGAGTGTACCATCCATGCCGCCAGCTCGTTCGTGTCCTTGCGATAGATGCCCAGTCCGGGCAGCACACGCACGAGTATATCAAAGAGCTTGACGCTTTCGATTTCATTGGCCGGATATAGATCGTGTATGCCCTGAACGTTCTCCAATGTTAGCAAGCGCATTTCCGCATCGTCGGGCAGCGGCTCCAGCTCCAGGTCCGTGTTCAGCTTGTTGCACACATAGATATCACCGCTCAGTCGCTCCATCACACCCATCTTCGAATAGAACTCATCCAGGCGATTCATAATTGCGATGTGCGTAAAGTTCAGGTACAATGGCTTTCGCCAATCTATAAGTACATCTTCGGTGCGCATCAGATCGACGTGCTCGATTTGTGCGGATGGACAAAATATGCCAAAAGTTTGGTATATATTGTTGTGCGGCTGCAATCAAAATGCGAGATTTTTAAATGCGATATGGGCCATTGGCGTAGGCTATGACTGTTTACCGTTAGCGTGCATCCTGGAAAATGTAATATTATCGGCTTTTCGGGCCAATCTTTAGCAACATAAAACTTAAAGTCCCAAATACGATCATTCAGGTACGTTTTAATGGTTTGATGAAACTGCAAGCGAAAAGATTATATAAAAGGAATATTTTAGAATATATTTATGTGAAAGGACTTTCGGAAAATATGATAGAAAATAATAAAGCTAGAGCAGTAGAGGAAGGAACAATAGTACCGAAATTAGCCTTTTTTTATGTATATAATAAATGTATTATGGATTTGAAAAAGGTCAGAATTGGACTGTCTCTACCAAGAAGAATATTATAATAATTGAAGGATATGTATTGTTTTTTCTTTTTTTTTTCTTTTTTATACACTAATAATTCCATTGATTGGCCTAAAGAGCTAATGGCTTTCGTTTAGTTAATGCTGACCTTATAGACAAGGTCGTTGTAATTTGTACACCGCATAGCCTTAAGATTTGCATATAAAAATATTCACGTGTTGTTTTAAGCGCGCCTGGAAAAATAGCAAAGAATTTTGCATAAAAGTTGAAACTTTGGCTGACGCCGAAACTCCAAAATTTCTTTGAAAGGCGAAAATAGTTTACTTTAGGACACGCCTCCTTGCACAGTGCCAGCCCCTGCCCCCATCCAAAGCGAACTTAAGAGGAGCAGCTCCTCCTTGCCGTTTGCCGCTTGCCGTTTGCAGGGCGCATTAAAAATTGAAATGAATCGTTCGTAAACAGTTTGAAAAATATAAAAAAGAGGTCAACATCAGTCGATGGGTCGTCGAGATTGCATGACTCTGTGTGACTATGCGGTCTACCTGGTTGGGTGGGTTGCACGCCCACAACAGGTAATTGTTGCTACAAATTACCTGAGAAGTGGGCGTGGCTGTCAGATATTATAGAGTCGTGTCAGTGGCATGCAACAAAGGCTGCCTCAATATTTATGTGCATTTTAAGTGGCTGGCAATCGGAGGTCGAATATAGGTCTATGGGTCTGTGGGTCTATGGGTCTGTAGGTCTCTTCAGAGGTGTAGAGCTCATAGAGCATTCCGGCTTACCTTTAATGATTCCGGCAGATAGCGCTCTAAAGTTACCAAAATTTCTGGAAGCTCTGATTCATGCACCAAACGAAAGTGTCTACCTTCAGGAATGATTTCCATTTCTGTAAAAAAAGAGAGCGAGTAGATATATGAGAAGAAAGTTCAAAGCGAAAATATTATAGGCAAAATATAGGTATTTCCATGGGAAAGACATACCCAAGATAATCTCTATATATTTATAGGCGTTTAATGGTACTTATATTCAGCTAATTGACAGTTTTGCATTTCTACAATTATATCCGTTTCCCACTTGCATTCCTTTATCCACCTACCACACTCAGCTCTGGGCTTAGTATAACTTCCCTCGCTTTTTACATTCGCTCATCTGAATCGTTAAATATTCATAAAGGGTTCACCCATCTGTTAACAATTAGGGAATTAGAAACTATTTAAGTTTAAATTACATTTATTTTAGGCAGACTTTTCCGTACTTAATAAAACATTAGCCTGTAATCCTCTTACGCTGCATAATTTTCACTTTTCCTTTTACTCATGTAGATTTATATACAAACACATGCATATGTACCATGCAGAGGCTTTTGTACTATGCTCTGGAATAGATATTATATACATATATTATATATACTATATACTATACTAGACACATTTTATTCACCATAATGGCAACTGCAGCTGCCATTAGCTCTGTGCCTCGCATATGAGTCGCTTGCCCCATTTCGCAGCATTAATAATCTCAAATATTTGTTTTCTTTTTCGAGTGCAATGGGTTATTTGTGTGCCCCCTTTTCTGCATAAAATATACCCAAAAAGCCTTATGAAAGCCTCACGCTTTGGCCTCAATCAAGGCACAAAAGGAATGGATTATGAGAGCACTCAATGTGCTACAATTGGGAATAGCCGACTAGACTATCATCATCATCATCCTCACCATCGACATCGATATCATTGCGAATATTATATTATTCATAATAATATATATTATTATTGTCATTAGCATTAGCATCGTTATACTCAATTTTAATACTATAAAATCATATATAATTTGTGGAGCTTGTTAAAAGAAACCCCAAAATTATTACCCCGATTACCCGCTCTCAGTGATTACAGGGTATTTATGGCAAAATGTACAAATCAAATATGCAAAATAAAGAGTCAAGAACATGCCGTTGACAGTCACAACATAGACGATAATGATGGTGGTGATCATGACGATGAAGACGATGATGCTGTCATTTTGGCTAGTAAAATATATATACTATAATTGATGGCCATATCCTTTAGATTTTTGGCATTACGTATCGAATATGTGAGCACATCCGTTATTGAGCCAATTTTCAAACCATATTAGCTGCTATAAACCGCATACGTAACGAGCTATTTCCTCACCCACAAAATAATATAAACTGTTGACTGCAGTGGCATGGAAATGTGTAACGAAGCTCTTGGGTTTCCTTGTTTGTTTGTATATGTAAAATATTATAATGGTACATATATTATACATTATACATAAGAAATTTAGTTGGGCTCCTTTATTGCCATAGAAAAGTGCACAAATAGTATGTAGATAGTGGGCACTGTAACCTTCTTACTCCATTATAATCTACATTAAAGCCAAGTTTATCTCGTTTCAACACTTTTTTATCCCAGCTCCTATTTTCGTTGATTGACAGGCTAGTCGACGAAAACGGGAAAAAATGCTGGTTGTTTGACTATTTGACTGATTGATGATGTGATTGATTGGCTCAAATGGCGAATATCATTCATTACTTGTTTTACTGGGTTACTATGACTATATTTATTACGGCCATTTCTGTTGTGTGTGTCGAAGCGAGCAGAGCGAAGCAAACGTTGACGCCCCTACATGGCGGTAACTATGACGGACGCTAATGTCTTCTGGCTGATTTGTGGAAATTAGTATTTGCATTAGTCGTGCTTGAATAATACTTATGGATGTAGGTGATGAAGTGTGTGGGGTGTGTGTTCAAGGGTGCAATGCTGTGATTTCTTACGGGTTGCGTAAAACATTGCTCACAGGAGACAATGCTGATGTGAGCTAGGCTTGGAGATACCACGAATCCTGAACAGAAGATTTTCTTAAATAAACTGATCGACTTTGATTGATCATAGGAAAATGAGATGGGTAGTCGAAAAGAGCTTGTACTGAGATCTCGAGCCATTATGTTCGATATCCCCTTTTGCCTGGTAAATCGATTATCAGAAACCATTACTAATGTTCGATTGAACTAAAATGTTAATTTATGATATTTTCCTTTCTACATTTTTTAATAAATAGTAGTTTCTTACTAGTACAACAAATTAATTGAATTATTGCTCATCAATAAGATTCGCGAATATATACCTAGAGTTAAGGAATCGATTGCCTGAACCGAGATAAACACATTTACCAAGTGTGTCTGCAGCCCTGGGGCCTCTGCCCACTTGCACATTCGTCTGAGACAGACGGCTAACTAAATGTGCAGCTCAAAATACAAAATCAATATAATAAGTGTTTCTAATCTGTTGTCAGGCAGACAGTTAGAGAGAGGGTGGAAGGGAGAGACCAAGGAGAGCGTGACACCCGATAGTCGCTTGAGCAGAGACTGTTCGCATAACAGCTTTTTCGTTTGCTTACTTAACCGTTAAAAATACCTTTGACATTTCGCAGCGGCAGCCGCAGCAGGTAGCAGACACCGCAGCCGTCTGGCGAATCGCTAATTCCCCGATAGTTCCATATCGTTGCCATTCCCAAATGTGGAAGCATCTATGGCCCCTCTCGCCCTTGGATCCTGTGGCACCCGCTAAGCGCATCGCGCTTGCCGGCCAATTAATTTGGTTTTTGCCCCAATTACAATCGTGCAAGTGCCTATGAAGCGTTAATTTCATATACCCTATCAAATGGGGTAGATGGTATTCCCTAATATTGCATATTATAGTTAAAAAATAAAAATATAATTTAATTTATAAATAAAATAATATTACTTGTTGATAAAATTGATAATGTTATTGCAATCGTACACAGAGCAGTTGATATTTTCTATATTGCTCTGCAGCAAATATAGCTAACTTAACCAACTGTTGCTTCATTTTCCAAAAGCCCAACTATTCGCAGTTCAGCTAAAAGGGTATTCTAAATTCTATTCACACGTTTGATTTGCTTTCCTCTTCTTAATTTCTGGGAGACACTCGATATAAAAATATGTTCATGGGCGAGCAGAAATCTCTGCTTTAATTGACATGCACATGTGCACTTGCATATGCACATATATACGCTTGCATTTGTGTATATGCGTGTGTATATTTAAATACTTACAAAAAATATTAAATCCGATGACCTTGTATGAATTTGTTGCTGCTTGTTGCTGTTGTTGTTGTAGCGATTGCTTTTGCGTTTGTTTCAAGCCTGAAGCCAACTGCTTGAATTAATTAGTTGTTATTTGAGCTTAATTATTAATTAATTTGATGGCAAATAATATTTTAATTTTTTAAATTAAAATTTTTTTTGTAGAAATTTTTCGCAGTTTTAGAAAAAGTGCAGTATGAAAATAAGTTTTTTTTTTTTTTTAATTTTTTCTTTTTTTGCGAATCACAGATGCTCTTTATTAATTTAATTGGTTGGCATTAAAATTGTTGAGTGCTAGTTTTTTTGTTTATGTTGAAAAATTTAGTTGCCTGGTAGTTGATATTATTTATATAAAATTTAGTTCTTTATAGATTGTAAATTGTATTTAACCGTTGTCTCGCGTCGTTTGGTTAGGCCCTTTATGAATGGAGGATGTCGGCAGGCTGCTCAGGAGCAAGAGCTGCTATGCTTATTTGTATTTGTGTGTATATATCTATTAATGTATACGTATGTGCGTTTATGTTTAAATGTGCATCAAAATTTCGAAGTACGGTATTCTTGTTGTTGTTGTTATTGCTGCTGYTGCTGCGACTCCTCCACAGACAGGCCTAACCAGCCAGGAAAGCCCGTTATTCCTTTTGCTGTTGTTTCTCGTTTATTATTGTTGCTTTTATTGTATTTGTATTATGTGTATCTTCGGCAGATACAACAACAAGCGTGTGCTAGTCCAGCATGGCGGCCGAGGACGTGCAGTAGTTGGTGATGGTAATGCTCTGTGCTTCTCTTCTCTCCGCTCTCCGCTCTCTGTTCCTTCCACTCCTTCTTATGCTTGCTGCGGCTGCTATTGTTGTTGTTGTTGTTGCTGTTGCTGTTGCTGCGTCCCACGCACACTGCACAAACGGTACGGTATTTTTTAGGTGTATTGGTGCTTAGAAGGTATTTGGTTGTCCGTCTATCTGTTTCACTTGTTTTTTGGTTTGCGATTTATATATTTTCACGAAAATTGATTTTCTGCTGTGCTGCTGCTGCTTCGGTTGCTGTTGCTGTTGTTGCTGCTGTTGCTGGCCTGGTTCTGGTTGCTGCTGCAGCTGTGTGGGCTTCGGAAGTATCCTTGTGCGGCGCCTGCTTTTTGGCTTCAGTTATTTGTTTAGTGCCAGGCCCAGCCCCAAGGACGCGTCACTTGGACACACAAACACACACAGTCGCGCGCGGCACACACACACACACACACACACAGACACACGCACAGTTCGAGAGAAATTCAATTCGCCTAATTTAATTGTTGTATTAAGACTCTGTGGCCTCTGCCGTGGGCTACGCTTTTGATTCACTGCTTCTGCTGCTGCTGTTGTTGCTGCTGCTGCTGCTGCTGCCCTATGCAGTGCGTTCCAAATTTGTTGTGGACTTTGTGTACTTTGTGCGCTGCGCTTTGGAAGGCGTTTGGAATTCGCAGGAATCGAACTAATCTGACTGACTGACGACAATGAACTGATTCTGAATCCAAGGAGCAGAGCCAGATGTTGGCCCAAGTTTCTATATTTATGTGTGTGTGTGTGTGCGCGTATGTGTGGCGAATCGGCACTGCAACGTGGCAACGTCGTCAACGTCGTGTTGCCGACATCTTTGTGGCTGTTTTTATATTCGCATTTTGTTGTTGCTGCTGCTGTCGGCTGTCGGCTTTCGTCTGTGTCCTCGTCTCTTGTGTTGCGCTACCTACGGCTCGAGAGTTTACGACTTAGCCGCTTGCTTTGTAACGCATTTTCCATCCCCTAAAATTAAAGTTTTTTTATTTACCGAGGAAAATTGTTTCCGAGAATTGCCATTGCATACTTTTCGGGTGCTGAAAAATTCCGACTTAAGATATAACGAATTAAAGATGATATGGAAATATAACCTGTCCTAGGATATAATAAAATAATAGGTATAAATAATTTGTAAAGAACTAATTAATGAAATTCTAACTTTGCAGATCGCATAATATATATGTATATATTTGATTTTGATTTATATTCATTAGATGCTAAGCGCATTCAACGTTCGTTCAGTAGCGTTTTTGTTTATGCATGTTACAAGCACATTTCAATGCCGCTTGCATTTGTGTTTGTGCTCTTGCGCTCACATGTTGCCCGTCGCATCACAGCTGCTCTCTCTCCCTCGTTTGCGCTCTCGCACTCAATCGCACTCTCTCTCGACGGAATGAGAGCGAGCACAAGGTTCGGCATTAATGCTGCATGCAATAGCATGCCAGAAGTGTGCGAGCTGCCAGCCCGCCAACTCTAACCCCCTTTCTGACTCCATAACATTGGCTTGGGAGTTTTGCGCTTTTGTTTTTGCCTTTTCCGTTTTTTTTTTTGTTGGGCTGGCCACGCTGCGCTGCTTAGCGCAACTGTACACCCTAAAGCAGAAGAGCCAGCAGTCGCAGTAGCAGAAGCCGCACTGGCAACAACAACAAGCGGCAGCTAAAGCAATAGCAACAATAACAACGCTCGTCTTTGCATGCGTTTCCACAACACATTTGCCAAAATGGCCACGGCGTCAGCGCAATACGTATACGCCACGTAGCGCCGCCATCGCGACGTGCACGTGTCGCCGGCGAGTGAAATAGGGAGAGAGAGTGAGAGTAGAGACTCATGGTCCTTTCACTCACTTTATTCTCCGCTGCCTGCGCTCTCGATTAAGTGCTACCCCCGCTGTCTCTCTCACTCTCTCTCTGTTTCTTTCATTCTTACTCCACTTTGCTCATGCTCATTTGTTTTGTTTATGCCGCACAGCTGTGAGACAGCCGAAAATCATTTTAATCGCCGTTTTTGGCCGTTTAAAATGAACATGCACACAAACCAGGGATGGGGAGTTATTTTCAAGGTCGCTGCTGAGTCTTGTGTGAGTGTGCGTGAATTGACATTCTTATTGGCGTCAAGTGGCGACATTCAAAACTATTTCAAGCCATAGTCAACCAGCCAGTTACAGTTACAGTTACAGTAATTAAAACGGACATATAGACGCGCCAAAAGTTTTGGGTGTTGCATTGGAGTTGGCAAGTAAGTTAGCCTGCTGGCCCATGCAACATGAATCACGCAAGCCCCACAGCACGCTAAATAAAAGAAATGGAAAAATGACGCCAGCTAGTAGCACACTCCGCACCCGTTCCCACTCCCGTTCCGCTTTCCAGTGCCAGCACCACATTTTTCTGCTGACAGTTCGCACCATGCGTGGTGTTGATCGATGTCTGTTTGTGTGTGTGTATATGTGTATTGGTATGGGTGTTATAACAGATACGCGAATTGTTATTCGATGCGCTCATTTCCAAGGAAACTTTACCCATAAAAAGTAGGAACTTAACATATAAAACAACACGGCTCTGCAGTTGGGGGCTCTAGTTCCAGCTAATTTTTTATCAGGTGTTTGGCATTTGCGCTAGGAGCTTCTCTTTGTCCTTCAACTAAAGTTTCTTAGCACTGAAAGAAAATAATGATATAATATAAGCAAATATGATATGGATTAGTTTTTTTTTTTCTTAGAATATATCTCAAACATTGTAAACATCGTCACATTTTATGAAGATCACTCACGAGTCATGCTTTAAATTGTAAATAACTTCGATTTCGTTGAGTGTATAGCTAAAAAGTGGGTTGAAATTTATGGTGCTGTATTTGCTTATTAAATGCTTTGCCAATTTTTACAACAGACACACATTCACATTTGGACATTCCACGAGGGCCACAATTGACCTCTGTTGACAAACTGGCAAATGGCAAGTCAAAATGGCGACCAAGGTCGGCCATGGAGTTAAACAACGCTGGCCTTTAATTAGCTTTGCCAGCAGTGGCAGCAGTGGCAGCAGTAGCACCAGTGCCAGCAGCAGCAGCCGGATTACTCATACGTAACGTGGTACGAGTGAGTGCGAAAGAGTGAGAGAGACCTAGGAGCAGGGAGCGACGCCTATTTCTGCCCATTGTTTCAATCGACTCCAATGCAGTGCTTGTGTGGTCAAACGTGCATTGAGTGGCACGTGGCACGGCACGTTCAAAGCCGGCTCAAAGGGTAAAACAGGCTATGTTAATGTCAGGGTCAACCTAGTTGCAGACATGCATCGAATTGAATATATTATTTAATCTATTCGAATTAGAGCAGGTAGTTCTCGTTCGAATCCTCAAATCCTTTAGTTGATTCACAAGTTCAGCTGCTTGTAGTTGAGTCTTCTAGTTCGATTTGCTGAATACACTAGCTTAGCTCTTTTTCTTAGGTCAAATTGATGAATCAGTTCAGTACTTAATTTTGCAGTCGTTGATTCCACAGTTCATTTGTTTGTGAATAATTTAATTTGATATTTAGTTGATGAGCATATGAACAGTTTGTGACTGGTAGTTGAGTAATAACATATTTCGAATAATAATTTCAGATTACAACGCTCACTGAACTGATTCAGTAGTTCAATTAAATGAACCGTAGAACTTTACGTATTGTGAACGAAAAGCCTCAACTCTATTTCGCATGCCCATAATAAACATAAATCAAGGAATTATATTATATATACATATATAACAAGTACAGTTTTACATTGTTGTTCATTTTTCCGCATTATTTAAGAGCAATTGACAGCGTCGACAGCTGCTTTGGGGACACAGCCAGATACCACAATTGTTGACCTTGACTTGCCAGTTGACAATTAAAGTTATTTTCATTTGCTATTGGGGACATGTTTATTTGACGACAATATGGTCAAAAACAAGGGCCATGCATAAAATATAAACAAAAACCATTTGATATTTATTTATATATATATAAAAGAATTATTTAGATGGTGGAGGCAAAGTGAGAGAGTGAAAGAAGTAGTGGGAGAGAGAGGAAAGGAGAGAAAGACATGTGCTTGGGCTTGGAATGTAATTGTAATTATAATCTAATATTTCCATCGTAAGCATTGATTTTCCCATTCGCTTTTATTCGATGAATTATTTAAATTTTCATGTTAATTAACAGACTGCAACAGCTAAGCATAGACTCAAGAACTGTTAATTAACATAAAATTACAAGTGAAGAAATGAAATTTTTAAATCTAAACAAAAGTGGCGCCTCCATAGCTAAAGTGTGACCAGATACTTAAGACTCATATCACTTTAAACATCATGTAGGTATCGATCACAAAATCAAACTATCGCACTGTTCATATCGATGGAGAACAATGTTATCGTAACAACACTCATCCCAAGSTCTTCAGTTCTACTTTGTAAAACCAACGGAATAGACGTACACGAGTTAATTGCTGAATTCGCCGAAAATCAAAGCAAAAAAAAAAAAAAATATATATATATATGTATATACATATATACTTTTTTATATGAATTTCACATATAATTTAGCCAGAAAAAGGCCTTTAAGTGTAACTCAGTTTTAAAAGTGCTCTATTTGTTCATATATTTATCCAAATATTATATCTTGGTGTTTGATAAGAAAATCGTGAGAATAGTTGTTGTTGTAGTTGCATAACCCCCGCGACCATTGTAAGCGCCAAAATAAGAACGTCCGAAGGAAACAACTACAGCAACATCAATCAACTCTAGTACGAAAATTTCATTGCCGCTTGTGCAAAACAAAAACAAAGAAGCGCAGAGCGAATATAAAAAAGATTCCATTGCCGGGAGCACAGCCGTTTCCCCGGCTCCGGGGCCCCACAGGCCGTCGAGCTACAAGCGCTCGTTGATATTATTTTAAAGGGAAAATCAAAAGTCGATTATGTCCCAAAATCGTGATACGCTGATACATTTACTAGCCGGCGCGTAAGTGCTCAAAAAGATGTTAATATATGTTGTATGTTATTTTTGTTATTGTCAATTGCGTCTTATCGGCAAAACTTAGAAACCGGTTTTAGTTGGAATCTTAAAGCAAAAGCAGCAACGGCGCAGTTGCGTTTAAGTAGTTGAACAACAACAATAATTAGACAAATTGACCCGCTGCAGTCGCGAAAGTTGGCATAGGCGCCAAAAAAACAAAATAAGAAACAGATAGAAAGCAAAGCAAAGTAAAGCAAAACTGACAAACAACAAAACCAAAGCAGACACAAACACGCACACACATGCCCACATATATATGTACATGTGTATTTATATGTATATTTGTATGTGTGAATCGTAATCATCTGTTCAAATCATGCAGTGTTCACGTGTTTAGTTTATTTTTGGCAGCAGCAGCAGCCGACATTACGGCCCACGTTGCGCAAAAATAATTCATAATAAATAATAAATAAATAAAAACAAAATGATAAAAAATGTTACAGTAAAAGCTTTAGAATAAAGCAAAGGAAAAGCTGGCCTTGATTGCACAATTTTGCCATTCACCCAAAACATAGAACTCTAATCTAATTGCGATTCCAACTAGAAAGAAAACTATTAATGAATTGTATTAATGTGAATTAAATTTAGTCAATTAAAAAATTAAAGAGCAGAACTATAGCTAAGCTTTCTCGTTCCTTATCTTTCACTAAAAACAATGAAGCAGTGTGTGGATTAGGAAAGCACTCTCTCTCTCTCTCTCTTACTCTCTCGCACCGCATCTTATTTCAGCGTTTGTCATTCCAACTTTATTTATTTGACTGAAGTCCAATAAGAATTCAATACAAATATTGTTTTTTTGCGAAACTTCATATATCTGCTGATTATGCGCATTGCAAATGCTCTATATATAATATGGATAGAGGAAGAGGCGATTTGATTATTTATTTTATATAAATCATGTCGATGATGGAATTTAATTGAACGGGAAACCAATTGGCTAAGGGGAACTCAAATAACGAGCAACAATTGCGTTGTTATTGTCGCTTGTTATTGTGGTCTGCTATTTTTAGATCTGCATCTTAATTTATTTTTGTGCTTTTATTGTACACCCTACAACACACGCCACACGGCGAGGCATATTCGTCTCCACACCCATCTCATTTTCAGGTGAGATCCAGTTGGCAAATGTTTTGTCAACCGGTTTTCAGTCCTGCCTTCTTCTTCAATTTCATTTGTGTTTTGTTGTTGTCAGATTGGGGGTAGCGGCTTCTGTTTACTTGTGCGAGCCGACCCGAGTCGAGTCGAGTCGAGCCTCTGCGAGCGTGAAATGTAAATAAATTAGGCGAGGGCTTGTTTTTAGCTGCGGAGTCGTTATAGTTTTTTAGCGTTTGCTAAATACATTCATCATTTATTTGTGTCTCTTTTTCTTTTTGGGTAAACAAACAGAAAAAGTCGACTCTAGAATCAAGAATCAACAGGCTGCAACAGTAAATAACTTGATGATTCACCATAAAGAAAACGGTTAAAGCACCTTCAGTTTCTTTAAATTTCCTTATCACAATGCTTTAATAATATATTTACATATATTTGTGTAGAACGTCTTTATTTTATTGGGTTTAACATTATTATTAACGAGTGGTTAATAACGAGAGCTGTTTCTAGAAATTTCTGTAAATCAGAATTAGATTTTTCCAATGGTTCATTAAAATGAATTATTGAACGTGTTCAGTAATGCTACGAAGAATATAGTTTGGTTGCTCATTAAATATATTTACATATCTATATTGAATTATTGAGGTGCTTATGAATGATTCCATCAACTGAGTCGACGTCAATTGTACAGAATCTTGAACTGAGTTACTTAAATTATTGCTATTGAACGTGACTTTGTAAGCCACCTTGCCCAAGATCAAGCTAGACTGCAGAATGCCGGCCGGCCGGCCAGGCAGTCAGACAGACAGTCAGGCAGCCAGCCAGTCAGCCAACTGTATATATATGAATTATTTACAGTCTGCTCTCGCCTATTAAGTTCGCCATGTAAACAGCTTTAAGCTAAGCAGAGGCTAGAAAAGAAACGAGAAGAAAACTCACGTTGCACATTGCACATTGCCTCTTTGCCTCTCTTTCTCTCTCTAGGCAACTTGAGCTGATTATACAACTGTTGTCTGGCTAGTGAAATTAACTCATGTGTGTTTTTCTATATAGTATATACGCATATATAACACATATCTATACATATGTATACATGCGTATGTATATCCATATATTCCCAAGTATTTCTATCTTTCAAGCTGAATCTCGTGTTCACACACGTCACAAAATAACAACACTTTGCACACATAGATATCGATATAAATAAACTAAAACAAATTGTGACAGGCAACTATATATTATAGATGATATATGAATACACTATATATACTATGTACCCAATATGCCGCAAGCAAATTGCTCTCAAGTTGCATTTTGCAATTTGCACATGCTTATCAGATTGTATATATAAATATACATGTGGATATCTATACTTTTCTTATTTGTTATATATTCGCATGTAGGATATGCCTGCATATTTATCTGCGTCTATTTGGCTGGCGCCCATAATTTTATTTTATTTATCTTATGACCTATGTTAAAGGTGGTAAAGGGTATATACATTGATAACAAAGCTAACAAATATAGTATGTATAACATAATAACATTAATAGTTGATGATTTACATGGATTCCTAACGTCTCTCTATTTAATTTAATGTATATAAGAGTAAAAGGAATCTGTTATACCCCTATTTGAAGAACACATTCAAAACGAATACAATTGCAGGGTATTTTTATAGTTGGTCGCTCTCGAAATTTGTCCCATGTTTTGTTGTTAGTGTCCACTTTTGTTTTCACAGAAACAAACACCGACAAATGCGGCCTGGCATTCGATTTGTTTTGGTTTTCTGTCGACCGTCGCCTCTATAAAGCAGGTGAGGAGGGAAATAAACTTTTTCTGGCACATTGACTCAGTTGAAGGCGATTGCAGCTAAATAAACAACATTGCTAATAACAAGCAGACATAGACTTGGATAGAAATAGAGATAGAGGATAGAGAGAGTGGACAATATATATATCGATATGGGTTAAAGGATGTAGGATGGAAGGCAGAGGTGAGAATATTAGGGATAAATGCTAGAGACATAGGAAAAAGTCGGCATACGACTAGATAAATTATAATAGATCAGGCAGCGCTATTTATAGACCTCATCTAGCTACATGCAACGTTTGTCTATCTAATGTGGGAAAATTTCCATGTCAAATTGTTTTCTATTCAAAATGGAATTTTCTTCTGTACCGAAACTTTGTTTTCGATCGGGCGAGCAAATATATATGTATATATTGTTGCTTTGTTTTGACCAATGTTTCATTTTGGCTGTAAGTTGGTTTGCGTGCCTTAACGCACGTACGCAATATGTTGAGGTAATCTCATATCTCGACTCTCTCTCTCTTCCTCATATATATATTACTGCCACTGAAGTTGGCTGAAATTTAATTTCTATTGTATAATTAGTACCTCACAGCCCTAATTAAAGCAATTAATTAAATTTTTATTTATATACAGAACAAACATAATTTGAAATGAAATTTTTTCTTGGGTTTTCTTCTGTGACCCTGAGAAATGTAAAATGTGCGCAAAATTATGTCAAGGCCGAAATCTTTATGTGTGTGCATATATATTTATATATCTATTACTAATGAGGAAGAGCTTGTTATATATAAAGAATATATATATGCAGATATATATATCTCATTTGATATGAATAAACTTGGCATTTTAGATAAACAAATTCAAGGTGTGTTTTGCGTTAGAAGAAGAGAATTTTATTTACAAACAAACATGAATATGTGAGTTTCTGAATATGCGAATAAATATGTGGTAAATAGGTACGGCGGAACAATATAGAGGTACTTTTTATCATGGCCATAATTCTAAAGATAGTTATAACAGGTCTAATTGTAAATATAATCATAAAGATTATGATCATAATAATTTCTCTTATCACTTAAATTTAGTTATGATTCCAATAATGATGTTCAATGATAGAATGAATATGGCTATTGTAATTATATTTAAGTTGAAATGATTCAAATTATAAGAATATGAATATTCTTATCATAATAATCTTCATATTGATAACATTTTATCAAATTAAATTAATTAAATAGAATTATCAGTACTATCTTCATCATTATCATAATGATTAGCAATCTGTTGATATTACACACTGACACTGACACTGCTGAGTCAAGTGGAAGTATAGTACATTAATTAGATTTGATCAATGTGGAAAATCGGTTTATAATATACTATACTAACTTCATAAATTTAAAAAGGTCGGTTCGGGAAACCAACCACATATCCCATTTTCCATATAAACATCCAAAATTAGACAGGAAGCTATATAGGCATGTTGATAGAACCATGTAGAACGGCATACTATATATATCTGGTATACATAAATATATGGTATATATATTCTCATGGCAGATTCCGTTTCAAGTTCAATGCTAGAGCAAATCAACGCGTGCTAATGCGCTGTTGAATCGTTCCTGAGCGAACAATCATTTGAGGCATGAATATGCTTATGACCTATTGAAATAGATTTTGTTTTATCAAAGTCTAAACAAGTTCAAGAAACGTTTCTACAGTCTTATTC